AGGCGGAACCGGCAGCGCGAGGAGGGGTGAGGGCGTCTCCCCCGTCAGTGCCCATGGTCCCGAGCCTTGCCGTGGCCCTGCTGCGCAAGGCAGGGCTCCTGCCGGGAGCCGCCCAGCACCCACCGGCTTTCAGACGCCCCCAGGCCCAAAACGCCAGCGTGAGCTCCCAAGCGCTGTACACACCACGGCCTGCACGGCAACTACAGCCTCGCTCCCCGAGTTGCGGCCAGAAGGGTTCAAAGTTGGCCTTCCAAAAGGGAGGTCCTGCGCTTCACATGCTCCTTCCCTCCCTTGTCTCCATGAGGGCAAAGAGGACATTTCAGGACATTCATGCCCAGACACAGGGATAAATGTAACCAACCGGGACATCTGACTCACCCCACAGCACCTGTGCAACACAAACACGCTGTCTCCTACACACTAAAGCAACAGGAGAAGCTGAAGAGATGGATCCTGCCACCACACCAATACCCAAGTCTTGATCTCTCTGACAGACCCTCTGGGATGGTCCCCATGGGACCCCTGTCCCTTCAGGTCAGATAGTTTTAAAGGGTCCTCTGACTGTCTGTGGTAGTTCCAAACTACCACGACCTCAATTTTGAATAAACAGGCAGTGCGATGCCTCATCCAAGGAAACCGTAGCAGGGAGATCAAAAGGGAGGTAGGAAAGGGAATGCCATGGGAAGTGCACATCCCAGAGGGACCAAGCTGCTGTCTTTCCATGCCTGCTTGCAGATAGCCCTGGCGACCCCCCGAGAGCTCGGCATAGCATCCTTAGTCCCTCACCGGCTGCATGGTGCCCCCGGCAATGATTACAGCACGGCATTCTTCCACCACCTTGGCAAAGTGGACAGCTGGATTCAGCAAGAGGAATTTGAGGCTGCTCTGACCAACCGTGCCTGGGAAAAGGAACAAGACAGCATCAGGAACGAGCTGTGACACACACTCAGGGATATGAGACATTCTCCATCCTGCCCGGGGTATTCTGGGAGGTCCCCACCTCTCAAAACAAGGACTCTGCCAGGGGCAGCAGCAGGTAACGCCACCCTGGAAGTTACCGGCTGCTTCCTAATCTTCCTGGAGCTGTGGCAGAGGTGCAATAAATTGCAAGACAAAAATCGACATCCGAAGTGGGAGCAGAGCTCTGCAAACCCTGGCCCTAGTGTCCTTGGCTACAAATTCCTTTGGGCTCACGGAGCCCTCACACAGACCAAACCTGCCAGCCTACATCACGGACAGCACAGATATATTCCGTCAGGGCTGCCAGCCCCCTCCAGCCTCCGTATCCCTCCCTCACTGCCAGCGAAGTGCCCGCCTGCGACTCATGCCCCCTCTCCCCAGCTCACCCGGTCCAGTACCTTGCCTGTTGAGAATGACTCGGCCATCTCGGTCCGCATTCGTGAGGGCTGAGAGAAACCCTTCAATCTGCATCAGCGGAGAGGCTGTTCGGAGCTGCTCATTCCCAGCCTCCACGGGAGGGCTCTGGAGAATACCTGCTGGCCAGAGGAGAAAAGGAGAGGCAGGCCACTTAGGCCACGTTTCTAAAGACAGGGACTAAGCACAAAATACACCTGGGTCCTTTCTACAGGAGCACGGTACCTGCTCGACATGTGCAGGCAGAGAACAAAGACCCAGTAGAGGACAGAACCCAAATTCTGTCACATCGTTAAGAAAAAATAAACCAGAGACCTGGCTTTTGTAGCTGGCCCCACAGAGCTACCCATGGAAACTCAGGTCCCAGAGCCAGCAGGTCACAGCAGGGCAAAGCTTGAGTGCCTGCAGTGCACACAGACCTGGAATGGCATCATTCGGCGATCACTCGGGGACCTCAGGAGATCATCCGATCATACAGGCAGTTGCCCAGGTCATCTAGTCTCACGTATTAAAAAACACATGCGCATGACAGCTTCTGCAGCCTATTGCTCCTCAAATCCGCCTCCCTCCTCCCTTCCTCACGCGGACAGATGCAGGTTCCACAGCCTCTCTTTGCCCACAAGACACCCAAGTGGAAGTTGTATGAACTCACCCTCCTTATCAGATCCCTGCTGGAGGGTCAGAAGAAAGTTCTGCAAACCAGCCAACTTCTGATTCTCCTTGGCAGTCTTCACAGCTGTGGCAGGGCCTCCGTATCGCTCCACAAACCCGAAAAGCTGCCAAGCGAAAGCCAGAAACACTAAGACTACCAACAGCAGGGACCAGGCAAGACAAAAACAGGTTTGCTGGCCTGCACGGGTCAAGTTCCTGGCTAGGTGCTCACAAACCAGCCCAGTCAGAATCTACCAGCGCAGCCCAGGGTGCCTGTTACTACCCTCCACCCGCTGAACCAAAACAAGTCTCTGATGTTTGTTCCTCCAGTGCAGTGCAGCCTGGCAGGTTTGAGGCCAAGCAGCACAGGATTAGCACCCACCGGAATACCGTGGTACAGCATGCTGCACGTTTCTTTGCCATATAAGCAAAAGGAAACCTGCCCACACAGTGCTTTTTGCAGGAAGCCTTTTGTTTTGCACAGCAGGGTGGAGAAGACGGGCTCCCACCCCAGCTGCTGCATCTTCCACTTCAAACTCTGTGTGAAGCAGCACCTCAACGCTGCTGACCATGAAGGTGTATGGGCAGTACCTTCCTACTGATGAGGCTCTTCTCGCAGTAACGCTGAACCTGTTGGAGGAAGACAGAAAAACACTAGACCAGGTTGCTCAAAGCCTCATCCAGCCTGGCCTTGAACACTTCCAGGGATGGGGCATCCACAGCTTCTCTGGGCAACCTGTGCCAGTGCCTCACCTCCCTCTCCAGGAAGAACTTCTTCCCGATATCTAATCTAAATCTCCCCACTTTCAATTTAAACCCATTCCCCCTTGTCCTGTCACTACAGGCCCTTGTAAAAAGTCCCCCCCAGCTTCCTTGTAGCCCCTTCAGGTACTGGAAGGGGCTATAAGGTCTCCCCGGAGCCTTCTCTTCTCCAGGCTGAACAAGCCCAACTCTCTCAGCCTGTTCCCATAGCAGAGGGGCTCCAGCCCTCGGAGCATCTTCGTGGCCTCCTCTGGACTCGTTCCAACTGGTCTATATCCTTCTGATATTGGGGGTTCCACAGCTGGATGCAGCTCTCCAGGTGGGGTCTCACAAGAGCAGAACAGAGGGGGAGAATCCCCTCCCTCGACCTGCTGGCCACATTTCTCCTGATGCAGCCCAGGATACGGTTGGCTTTCTGGGCTGCCAGCGCACACGGCCGGCTCATGTCCAGCTTTTCATCCACCAGTACTCCCAAGTCCTTCTCCTCAGGGCTGCGCTCGATCCACTCTCTGCCCATTCTTCTTGATGTGTTCTTAGGGACGGCTGCACAGTTCCTTGTGAGCGCTCCCCCCGGACAACAAAGGCATTGCTTCCAGAGCAGAAACACCCTGTGCTAAGGGCTGTGCTTGGAGGTTTGAGGGATGGGTTATTGGAGTAGTATAGTTTCTTCACCCTCAACCCTTAAACCTTTCTTTGCCTACAGACAGCCTCTGCACTTACCTATGTTCAACTGCTTGCTTCCTCCTCCCCATCCAGCTTTAATGTGCTGTTACCCAGACAGCAGCAGCAGAGATCTGTACACTGGGGAATGCTAGAAAGCAGATTGTGCCAGCCCCCACACACGGTAACTTCAAACAAGCCACCGCCCCTGTGCCCTAGCAGGTGTCACCACCTGCATTACCTTGAAGAGGTTGATATTGTCGATCTGGCTCTGAAATAGAAAGTCATTGATGGATTTTAGCACTGTCCCTGAAAGAAAAAGGAGGGAAAAGGAGAAAACAAAAATCATGAGCTGCTGGGCCTGCAGCCCCTTACTGCCCACACCCATGTCCCTGACTGATGGCTGCGTACCCCAGGGGTTCGCTCCTGTCTTACCTGGTTGGGAAACTGCCTGAAAGCTGGGATTTTGGTTCACATTGCCTGTAAAACACGAAACCAATTCAAGGAAGGTTTACAATGGGTCTGTCTTAAAATTAGGCAAGAGACTAACGACTGAGCTGAAAGGGACACCACACCAGGACAAAACCCAAGAGGTAACCGTACATCTGCAAAATGTAGCTGTACAGACAAAACATCAGCTTCTGCTTGGTTTTAATTTGCTCTCTAGGGCAGCCCTGTGCTGCTGCATCCTAAGAAACACCACCTACATCCCTTCTGTAGCAGGAGGCAGCAGTTACAGCGGGTGCACGCAGATGCTGGCACGCTAGGCAGTCGTCATGCCGCGAAGGTGGACAGGGACTGCAGTGCATCCCTCACCCCTCCTCAATGCAGCAGCCGGGAGCTGGGAGGCGCTAGGCTGGCAGGCGACTGGGAAGAAGGGGAAAACCTGAGGACGGCTCCATGCCCAGACCCTGACAACCAGAAGGGAATTAACTGCTGCCACTCGCTGCGTTTTATGTCCTGGTGTTTAACATCCACCTCACATCCCACTTCTGCAGCCTCAAGCTGTACACGGGCTGCATTTTCTGATGAAAGCACTTAACTGAGCGTGGGGAAGAGAACAGGGTGAGGGGGGAGAGAAGTACACATCTGAGAGAAGGGCAGAGGGCACCACCAGGCTCCCACCCCGAATTGCTGCCCATCCCCTGGGCAAGGAGGAAGTTCTTCCCAAACTTATGACAGGCTCTCCTCAAGGCACACCGAGGTCTCGTGATCGGCTCCACAGAGGAAAGGAGCCCTGCAAATGCCAGTGGATTTAAAAATCTCAGTAAAATTGTATTTTTCCCTAAAGGAAAGGCACCACTCACAGAAGGCTCATTCTGCAAAGGCACGCCTGACACAGGTAGGGCCCATGCCACCAGATGACCCAGGAGATGTATGCTGTGCAGCTCTCGTGCTGTCCTGATCACCATCACCCGTCTGCTGTGTTCCTCACTGACCATCCTACCTTGTCCCCACACAAATCAGATCGGAAAACCACGCAGAAAGAGAGGGAAACTGCCTCTACCAACTTACTATGTCATCTGCTGCTCCTCAGCTAACCAGAGGGGTTCAGGCAGATCCCAGTCGACATCCCCACGTCACAAAACAGCGTAAGAAATAAAATCACTGGCATCTGAACCCATAAATGAGCAGCATTCCCCACAGCCTCTGCAGAGGGGGAAGAGGAAGCACCAACTAGCTCAGAGTCTACCAGGATCCCTGGAGATGGAACAGGTTTCCTTACCTCCCAGCACAGCCACAAACCGCTCCAGCAAATATAGGATCTGCTTAATATACATCAAGTTCTTCGCCTTCAAGCGTTTCCTATGAAACATGAGACAGGTATCAGGCTCCAAAACTTCTTCAGGGACTAACTCACAGCAGCTGAGCTGCAGAGACAGGTACCTGAACTCCCTTTCATTTTCAGGAGACAGGAACCAAGAATGATTTCTTCCAGGCTCACTGTCCCTGTTTGTGTCAGGGCACAGGCCCCCAGATATCCTGCCCAAGGTCACCCCAGAGCCCTCCCCATGCACCCCACACTGTTCCTGCCGTCGCCTTTCTCCTCACACGTTAATTACAGCTGGTTATTACAGTGGCAGTGACAGCTCAAGCCCCTGTTGCAGTAAGGCTCCACAACTTCGAGCTGTTAGCTTTGACACAGTCATCAACCGCTGCAGGGATGACAAGACGCACGCTTTGGCCAGAGCCAAACCCCACATACAGCTTCCCCCTCTGCCATAGTGCCAGCCAGCACATGAAAAACTAAGGTGCAGGAGAGACATGAAAGGCTGAATCTTTTGAAACTCTGCATCACAAAGCAGGAGCGATTAGAGGGAGATATTGGGAAAGGAACTGAGAGGATAAGGGAAAGCCACAATCCTCAGGGTATTCCCCTTCTCGCTGCTTAATACCAGCCCCAGGAGCCTGACTTAGACGGATTCTAGACAGAGATAATGAAGCAAGTGGCTTTTCATCTGCAAAAGTATTAATCCAAATAACTTTCCACTGGGGAAAAGCAAGAAAGGCCCTACGACATGAGACAAGCCGTGGCATCCACACGGCCTGGCACCGTTGTGCTCCGAGATACTCACCTGTATCGCTCCATGTACTGCAACAGCTGGGAGTGGGCACAGCACAGCTGCACAAACCAAAAAGAGGAGCTGTTATTGCAAAGGGGTCAAGAAAGGGCTGGATGCAGAGCTCACTCAGGATTAAGACGCCAAGCTACGACTCACCTGAGAGCCACTGACCTCCGCACTATGGATACAGGTGATGGTGTCTATGAGGTTGTGGGCCTCATCAATGATGACGACCTGGTCCTTCAACTTGATCCCAGCAGCGTTCCTGGTAGGCTCATGCAAGAGCATCTGATAGGGCAGCACCACCAGCTACCAGAGAAGCACACACTGCTCTGATTCCAGCTCTCATCCTTACACACTTCAGGCACTCCCAACCACTCATTACAGGCCCCTATCAGGTGGCCACAGAGAATTCAGCCAAGTTACTCTTGCTATGGGAAAGGCAAGAACAGAGACAGGAGCACACACTCCAGAGGGGCTGAAGAGAAATGAGCATGCTACAACTGTATATCAGCTCAGGTTACATTCCAAATCTCCTCTGAAGCACTCAAAGAGTGTCTTCTGATAGAGAACCAAGCGTGGAAGAGAAGCAGTGCAGGAGCTAGGCTTACACCCATACGTGAGCACTGCCTCTAACTTAGCGAGTCTTTCGAGTATTTCAGAATGCTGAGACATACTCACAGTCCCCCTATTCACTTCAAATGGATATATTCTTACTTTCCTCTGCTTTCTTAGCAAAAGTACAGCTGACAGAAACACAGCCTGCTTACAAGCTCCCACAATACTGAGTAATAGCAGCGGAAGGAGATGGCAATTGGTTCATTCTTAGAGGCCCTGGCATTAATCCTGCTACAAATTTCAGAATGCTGAGACATACTCACAGTCCCCCTATTCACTTCAAATGGATATATTCTTACTTTCCTCTGCTTTCTTAGCAAAAGTACAGCTGACAGAAACACAGCCTGCTTACAAGCTCCCACAATACTGAGTAATAGCAGCGGAAGGAGATGGCAATTGGTTCATTCTTAGAGGCCCTGGCATTAATCCTGCTACAAGCCTGTCAGGAATGGCATATCGACTCCCGTAGTATGGGCAGGCTTTGGTCTCTCTTCCCAAAGCCACCAACTGCTCAATGTCCTTCACTTCCACTAGAACCTCATCGCGGAGAAACTGCATCTGCTCGTAGGAGTAGAACGGGCACACGGTGCGACTCACACGTCTCTTCTTCCCTTCCATCTCTTTGTCACTCTTCTTTTCTGCCAGCAGAAGCCAAAGGAAGACATGAGCAACACACAATAGCCTAAAAGAGTCAAGTTTGCAGAACCTCTTGGATTTCAAAGCATGTTTTATCATGTGAATTTTTGACCCATCATCTATTCAAACATTATTCAGCAGTAACATTTCCAGCTCCACAGTGGACACTACTCTTGCCAATCAGATTTAGCCACGGGACATTTTCCAGCATTTCTAGTACCAACTCACAAAAACAGGCATCCTTCTGCTGCAGAAGTCCTGACCCACTTAGGACACTCAGGAAATGCACACAGACCTCAGCATGCCAGCCTGGAGGCCCAGAAAATTAAAAGCGCTGAGGATCTCTAGCTCTGCCGCTCCAACCTACCACTTCCAAGCTCCTACCACTCTCTCACTGGCAGCACGCACTGCCTCCAAACTCCCGTGCCAGCTTCATCAGCCATTGCTTCCCCAGGCTGGAAGTGTTCCTACCATGCTTGTTCTTTTGCATCTCCATGCAGCGATCACTGATGAGCTGGAGAGCCCCCAGGCGTCGCACCTCCTCATTCACACACAGGTTCTTGGACATGCAAAGAGAGGAAGCAGTAGGGGGTCATTAAGCAGCAGGGGGTCATTAAGTGCCCCCTTGTGCACCCTTTGCTGCGAAATAAAGGATTTCTTTAAAGCAATCTTAATCACAGAATCACAGAAGGGTTTGGGTTGGAAGGGACCTTAAAGACCATCCAGTTCCAACCCCCCTGCCATGGGCAGGGACACCTTCCACTAGACCAGGTTGCTCCAAGCCTCATCCAGCCTGGCCTTGAAGACAGCCAGAGATGGGGCAGATTCCAAAATGGAAAAGGCTATCGGTCAGACACTGTGCATACTATCTGCTACAAATGTGCTCAAAACCCATAAACACTTAGCAAGGAGGAAAAAAGAAGCGAGAAAAGGTGCACTGAGATGGCTCGCTGCTACACAGCAGCTTGTAAAAAATGGTGCCAGAAGTAATACTAAGAGGAGCACCTTCCCAGTGACTCCAACCTCTGTAACACTCAACATACAAACAGGTAAAACAGATTTTTGCATCAGTATCAAAGGATGAACAGCCAAAACAGCTCACAGAGGAACGTACATCGTGCGGATCTGTGTCACGACCGCTTCAGTTTTTCAACAGGAGATTCAGTCAGACCCCGAGACGCCTCCTGTTGGCATCACACCCACACACCTCCTCACCAAGTCTCTCACACGAGTCCCTTGTGAACGACAGCACATACCTGCCTGGATCCCAAGGAGACCAGACGCGTGTCTTTGCCGAAAGGACTTTTTTGCACCTCGTGCACAAACTGCGACAGCTGGGAATGAGTGCGGCTGCAGTAGTAAATCTACAGTGAGCAAGAACAGAGCGAAGACAAGAAGAATGTGAAAGATAATCCCAACCCTGCAAGGAAGCAGACAAGCACCTCAACAAGGTTCATCTTGCTCAAACCTTCAAAAACACAAGGGAAGGCACACATTTGGGCTTACAAGGGCCTACAAGGAAGCTGGGGGGAACTTTTTACAAGGGCCTGTAGTGACAGGACAAGGGGTAATGGGTTTAAATTGAAAGGGAGGAGGATTAGATTTTATATCAGGAAGAAATTCTTCACAGAGAGGGTGGTGAGGCACTGGCACAGGTTGCCCAGAGAAGCTGTGGATGCCCCATCCCTGGAAGTGTCCAAGGCCAGGCTGGATGAGGCTTTGAGCAACCTGGTCTAGTGGAAGGTGTCCCTGCCCATGGCAGGGGGGTTGGAACTGGGTGATCTTTATGGTCCCTTGCAACCCAAACCATTCTGTGATTCTATGATTTGAGTGTCACCTCACAACTGTTGAGGCCAACAGCCTTCTCTTTGTTTTCTCCTATGCATTTGCCTTTGTTTCCATTTAATTTTCCAAGGTCCCTATAAAAACAGGGACTCACCGTTGGAGAGTACTAAAAACCCCTGTTTCTTGCAGTGTGTTTTTACAGCAAGCCACAGCAAAAATTCAGCAGCGTTAGCAGAGCAAGATGCTGAGGCAGCCAGTGTAGTCCAGGAGGAGATGAGCACAGCAGAACTGGTTGCTGGTATCTATAAACATGGCAGTTCCTGAATCCTTCTGTACCGCAGGACTCTGGGAAGGGTGTGAGGAAACCCTAATTCTTCCCACTCCTACACTGTTCTACGAAGTGGCACTATCTGCTTTCCTCATCTCACCTTAGTCACATGCTCCTCTTCCAAATCATCATCGTCTTCCTCCAGCCTAAGAAAAGAGAAAGCACAAACAGTTTTCTTTCAGCAGATCGCTGGCAGTGAGAATCAAATGGTGCTCTACTACAAGAGAGGGGTCCCAAGAGAGATGGTTATTGTATTTTCAAGAAGAGCCTCAGACCGTAACTCAGGAGATAAAAGATAAATTGACGTTTTAAGAATAGCGTCAGCATGCACAATCAAGTCAAGACTTGCTCTTTGAAAGAAACCCATCTGCAGGGCTGTATCTTTAGCAACTTTAAGAAATGTATGGGTTTTTTCTTTTAAATCTGGGGCTTCTAAGCCCTGGGCATTAGCTAATCAGTGCTCATTTATTTATTTATTTATCTTAAACTTTCCCTTTAGATACAATCTGCCACCCTCAAGCTACTGCATAAAGAAAACCTTCGGGAAGATACTTAGCTGCCACAGCGTTCCTCAAAGGCAACAGCAGTTTAATGTCTGATAAACTATATATAAACGAAGTATTTAAGTGTTTTGCAATTTTTAAGGCAGGGGGATCTTTCTAGGTACTAATTAGTAAATTTGCAGTTTAAATGTATTTGATTTTTTTTATGGCTTCCTGCTTTCTGCATACGGGAAATGCATGAGAGAGAAAAGTGAGCGTGGGGTTTGCACGCTGAAACTCCATCTTCGGACGTGTGAACGTCTCCCCCTTCAGTGTATCGAAAGGTGCCAGTGCTGATCTGTGGGACTGACAGCTTCCTCGGATGCCCCGAGTTCCATTTCACTTTTTTTAATGCGAGGAACTGGATCTCACCTCATTCACTCAGAACCCAGAGGCATTCTTTGGGAAACCAGGCATGGACATCACCACACATTTTGAGAAAGATGGACTTTCTCAGAAAACACTTCAGGTCACTCAGATCAGTCAAACAAAAGCTTAGAAAAACCCAGAATCCCCCCAAAACACCAAACCAACCCATGAAGCAAACCAACCCCCACCTCACACAGCTTGACTGGGGGAGAAACTCCAGATCTGCACAATCACAGGTGAAATCTCTTTAATCAAGGCAAGCCAGAAACGACACAGAAAACATTTCCTTGGCACAGAACCCCCTCAGTCCTTGTCCTTACCCAGATACCGCCTTCTTTTCTTCATCACTCTCATATTCAGCAAGAATCAGCTCTTCCTCATTACAATCCAGCTGCTCCAGAACCTCCTCTCCCGCTCCCTCTGAAAGAACCTCCTTGCTGAGCTGAAGAAGGCGCTTTGTCTCATCCTCCTCAGATCTCTGAAAGGGGCACAGGATCACGTTATTTCTCGCACAGAAGGAGAGGAAGCACACACATCACTTTAAGCTATGGGCAGGGGAGGAGACAGCACAATCCCTCACTGGGCAGGACACCAGCAGGAGAAGCAAGAGTGCCAAGGGTGTCCAAAGCTGTTCCACCCTACAGCTGTTACCAACAGCCAAGGGAGAAACATAAAGAACCTTCTGTGCAAGAGCCCCACTGAACTAATAGATCCTGAAATGACAACATCCAGCTAACCCAGTATTAGTTGCTTGAAGTGGCCCATAGAAGATGTCTGCCAGAGAAAAACGTGTGTAAGTAAACCCATCCCACCAAACATATAAGGATATAATCGAACACTCTGTCCACACTTAACTCAGAGCCAGGATAAACTCGGCACCTGCTTTAGAACACAGAGCACAAGACTTCTCTTGCTGTTTGGTCCTCCAGTTATGTACTGTTCTATTATTCTGTTACTCTATTTCTCCAGTTATTCTACCACATGTCTACCCCTCTATAAAAATTCCATTAAACAGTTGAAAAATAGTTTTTGAATTAACTCTGTGTTCTGATAAAGAAGAGTTCATTTTTCCAATCTGAAAACAGTATCTCCCAACTTCAATGAGCATTCTTTTACCACTAAATCATGAAGAAATGCAGTTAGTGAGCACTACAGAAGAGATGAATCAGTTCCTTTTCCAAATCTCTCCAATACTTCTCTCGTTTGCTTTCTTGCTATTTATCATACTTCTCATTTCACGTGCTCTTCATCCTCTTTTTACAAGACAGAAGTTCTTTATTCCACTTATGTTTTTATTTGCCATCCACCTCTGAACCTTTGCTCTTTCTGCCTTATCCTTTTAACAGGAGTTGACCGAAATACAGCACTGCACTTGAGATGGAGCAGACTAGAAACTAACGGCCTGGCAGCCGACTAAATCTGCCTGTTTAGTGACCTGGAGTGGGTATTTCTGGGAAGCTGGGACTCATACCATCAGAAAGCTCTTAGAGTCAGGAGTAGTGAAGCCAGTGCACCCATCTAAATGGCAAGGAAATATATCTGTGAACTTTTTATATGTAGAAAAGAGACATTTCTGAACAATACAATCAGGTTTGCTGTGAAAGTAAACAAATACCATTGTTCCTTTGCAGTGGGCAAAGTCGGACCAAAGCCTGACCTGGTTTTTTTTTGGAGGAGTCTTCTGTTCCCATGATCTTAAGTTTAATCACAGTTCAGTAGGTTTTATTCCAGAAGTACAGAGTATTCACACATGCTCATAAAACAGAGAGCTTAGCCAAAAAAAAATAAACCCAAGTATTACAGCTTTTAAAAGAAAAACAGAGGCCAGAAGGCCATCAGAACACACCCCTTCTCTATCCACACACAGGCATTACACAAGAAATTCTCCAGGCGAAAATTGTTTTTCACAACTGTACTTTAAAACCAAAATCTAACCAAAAATTTTGGATGGCCTATTTCATCAGCTGCCTAAAACAAAGAGAGGGGTCGGAACATTCAGCGTAAGTCGCAGATATAGACAAGTGTGAATAGTGCTGAAGGCAACCAAAACAGAAAGTTCTGATCGCCGCGGGACAGCTCACCTTCCTCTTCGCTGCATATTTTAACTGCACATTATGGCGAATTTTCTCCAGACGTTCTTCTCGCTTTTTCCTCCTGATCTGCTCTTCCTAAAGTAAAAGGAGAGTGAAAGAAGGATGAAGTGTATTTAGTCCTAAACCCTGGGTATAATGACTTTCCTATCCCCTGGGTATAGAAGAAAATTAAGTTTGAAAGAAGGTGGCCAGCACACAGCCCCTTTCTCCAGGACTGCACACACGCCTGTTCTGTGTTACTGTGTTCAGAGCGATACAGTTTCCCATCTTACACAAGGGATGGCTCATCCCTTCTAAAACTGAAGGTCCCATGAAAGACGAAGACCACCCTCACTTCTTTTCCCAGTGGTCACCAGGGATATCAGCCTGCCTGACCCTCATGCCTCGTTATTTTACCCATCCTCTACCTACAAGCATCCCCAACCTTCAGCCTGTCCACCGCATCCTGCTCCATCCTCTACCTAAGAGCATCCCCAACCTTCAGCCTGTCCACCGCATCCTGCTCCATCCTCTACCTAAGAGCATCCCCAACCTTCAGCCTGTCCACCGCATCCTGCTCCATCCTCTACCTAAGAGCATCCCCAACCTTCAGCCTGTCCACCGCATCCTGCTCCATCCTCTACCTAAGAGCATCCCCAACCTTCAGCCTGTCCACCGCATCCTGCTCCATCCTCTACCTAAGAGCATCCCCAACCTTCAGCCTGTCCACCGCATCCTGCTCCATCCTCTACCTAAGAGCATCCCCAACCTTCAGCCTGTCCACCGCATCCTGCTCCATCCTCTACCTAAGAGCATCCCCAACCTTCAGCCTGTCCACCGCATCCTGCTCCATCCTCTACCTAAGAGCATCCCCAACCTTCAGCCTGTCCACCGCATCCTGCTCCATCCTCTACCTAAGAGCATCCCCAACCTTCAGCCTGTCCACCGCATCCTGCTCCATCCTCTACCTAAGAGCATCCCCAACCTTCAGCCTGTCCACCGCATCCTGCTCCATCCTCTACCTAAGAGCATCCCCAACCTTCAGCCTGTC